ATTTACTTGGCAATAAACTCGATTTTGCTTCCTCAGCTACCTCACTAATTTCTGGTGGAGTACAATTCACACTTTTTTCATCACTAGAATTCATTTTGAAATCACTAATGAATTATGTATGATTACACAAATTGACAGTTAATATGGCTACTGGCCTATTAATTCCTATTTCGAAAAATTGACTGAGTTGCCATGGTAACGTTGATTCCATACTTCTTGATTAATTGTATTTGCGATATGGATACAATACAGTCTCACTGCAACCGTGATGTATTTTCATTGTGCTTGAGGGGTGAAGAGATACCTACATGAGATATCAAATATATACAGGTCGTGCATAAAATGTTGTATGTATTTCGGGCGTAACTAGCTTTTATGGACCTAGGCGTGTTAATAGCCCTCGCTATCGCTCGGTCTATTACTTACACGCTGCGGTCCATAAAAGCCTATTTTACGCCCTTGATACATAAATAACTATTATGATCACTCTGAGAGCCGATTGATTATAGCCAAGATAGTTGTAGAATAAGTAGGTATGATTTGATTTTTTCCCTTGAAAAAGAACTAAAACAAAAACAACATATGGCAGTAACAGCCACTTAGATCTATTCCAAAAATCTAATAAAAAATTGACGCCCAGAAATTTCTCTTTAGAAAATTATACAACTGTATCTAAAATGATCTCCTGAATGAATAAATGTGGAAAATCAAAAGTTTCCGACGACACCGAAAGTAACTCGAAATTATGATTCATTAACCCTCCAAATTTCAAAATTTCATTTTGAACGATTCAAAAGTTACAGGGGCGGCGCGGTTCTCATGGCCACCCGGTATACATAAATAACTTATTCGTAGATACAATGACTGAGAATCCCGGAAATGACCCCGCACATGTAAGGGGCGAGTAATGAGGCACACACAAACAATATAACACCACCTTTAATGACCCCAACACCTCACAACCTTGTCACTTGGCTGACTGTAATATACTGACTAATTACTAATCTCCTATCTTCAACCGTTCTGCATTCCGTGATTCATCATACTCGTAATCACCAACCGCCGTCCGCTTATGTTATATACTGTGTGTTTAACATTTGGTACCACGGTTAGTAGAATGAAATCGTGAATGGTGGGGATAATATCAGCCACTGGTACAATAGCGGGTGAGCTGAGGAGTACACGAACTTTATTTTGTTCAGCGTGAGAATTACGATACTCTGTTGGGCTTCAACATGGAAACCTACAGATCATCGAAAACTCTGTGGGAATCTTGCGTAGAAGACTACACGTTTTTCCGGCTCCATTCGCCCCGAGTGAGAAGGAAATTCATAACAAACTAAGGACATGTTCCGCACCTCCCTGTATATTGAATCTTGCTTTACGTACCACAAATCGATTTGTCTGATCAAATTATCCTTTGTGTAAGGGGCGAGTAATGATTCACACACAAACAATACAACACCACCTTTAATGACCACAACACCACCTTTAATGACCCCAACACCCTACAACCTTGTCACTTGGCTGACTGTAATATACTGACTAATTACTAATCTCCTATCTTCAACCGTTCTGCATTCCGTGATTCATCATACTCGTAATCACTAGAGTCACTGGATGGTATTAGTTTGATAAGAGTTCGGACACAGAAATGACAACGGTCAGGGTTTTTGAATGTTTAGATTAATTAAGTTACAAATCTTGCATTGTGACAAGAGCACAATAGTCGTCCCGCGCTTTTTCATTCAAAATTGTTTGAATTTGACAATACATTTTATAAACGTCAGAAGAAATAAAATTTCCTAATTATACATTCGAGATGAAAGCAGCTATGGAAATTACATGCTGTGTAATAAATTGTGCCAATTCTGAAAAAAATGGATATCATTTATTCAATTTTCCGAAACAAATATCAACCATTCGCTTATGGATGGAAGATATGAAAGGTCCTCGGCCAATCCATCTGTAGAATATTGAATAATAGAAGAAAAATGCACTGGCGTTCCTTTTCTGATATTAACTTCTTAGAGGCGACTTACGAGCCCTATGAAAATAAATCGATTGCATCGATTATTTCAAATCCCAATAACTGGAAAACAGTTGCTCGCAGCGACCTCTACCAGGAATATATTTCATACACAAAAGTGTTCTAGAAATCTATTTTTCTACTATAAAATGTGATACAGGTACGCACAAAAAAGTTATGACTTTTCAAAAGACTCAAAAGACATCCCCACGAAAGAGATAAACTAACATAAAATTTCATATTGTCATTGCAAAATACCCCTAGAAACCAAACCTCATTCGAATATCACAATTATTTTAAAATGTATTAACAAAAAACAAAAATAGGAATGCAAATTTGAAACTCTGTGTTTCAAAAACGAATAACTTTCGACGTTAGCAAAATGCTCCTGAATTTTCTACACGTACTTAAAAACACCCTGTATAGGGTGATGACAATTTGAAAGCTTAGAATTGATGTAACTCATGTACAGAATGAGATACATATCACGAATGGTTCATAACTGTTTATATTGCTGAAATAGTTATGTTCAAGTGATTCCAAATAATGATTTGTATACAGTAGATCGATGTAACGAGAGAACACGGCAATGTACTGAATGTTATGTTAGACAATTTCACTAAGTATTGGTAATATTGGAAGTACCCAATTTTCGAATATAATTCCAGTTAAAATATGCATGCAAACAAGAAGATGATTTGAGCCACAATTGTGAAACTGGGATTAAAAAACATATCATGAATATTTGAGTTCAGGATTTCTAGAAAGACTAACATAATATATCATGTATATAAACTATCACCCTATATATGACAACCCGGACTCTATCAGAGGAAATCATATGAATCCTTATGTTGATGATCGAGATCCATAGTGTGTCAAATAATTGGCCGATTCTAGCCGTTTGTTTTCAATATTCGTCTATTCCCATGAATATTACCTTGTCATGATGGAATGAAATACCCTGTATGTGATATTATCTATTCTTTTTATTTCTACTGAAGATTTATCACGACTTAGAGCACATAATTAATTCAAATCGATGCAAAATATTCTAAACAGCCAAACTCAAATGATTATAATAATAATATAATAATCTTTATTGGTCCTTTCGATCACTCATATGATATAGGATACGTCACAGTATTGTATACATAAGTAACAACAAATAACAACAACAAAAACAAAAAAGAGTATAAGAGGACAAGGGCACAATATAATTACATAAACATAACATAACATAAATGTATATGTATATGGATGGTCAATAATAGAACAATACTAATTAGTACTATACATGATAGGGTTCTATATGTTTATTAAATCACATCTTGAGATATGCATCCAATGAATAATAGTTATTTAACCAACTAGTGTATTAATGAGGGCGATTAATGATCGAGATATTTCAACGTGCGAGCGAAGCGAGCGCGTTAATGTTCGAGATCATTAATCGCCTTTTAATATACAAGTTGGTTACAAAATTTTTCCGTCGACTATATTTCTCATTTCTCCTGCAATGAAGAAAACTTGGTTCCCGAATTCATCATTCATCCGGAAACTGCTAAGAATCACCCAGTAGCCTTGTAACTGACATTATAGTGACATTTGAAATTTGTCGAAATGATCAACATAGAAAATAAATTCCTTGTGTAAGAAAACAGGGATTGAAATTGTGTCAGAAACTTGGAAAGGCGAACCTGTTAACAAAAAATCTTTGATGAAATCCATATTTTCGATTTAAATGCAGATTCCGTAAGTTATAGCATAAACAATGAATGCACGCGGTGTATGTTTGGTTGCCTATAAAACAATCGTGCATTAATAGATAAATCGTTCATTAATAGTGGTCATTAATGAACGATTTCATATACATTAAACTCAGTCGTTAATACGAGGTCGACGGAAAAAGCAATTTTCAATAAGGAATTTTTTAAGGGTTGTGATAAACTTCCTGCTTTCATTAGTATTCTTTATTTCTTGTGGCAATTTGTTGTAAATCATCAAACCCATATATGCAGGTGAGTTTGTGATACCCTGTATTTATAATGTGAAATGTGAAATTTTTTTTTCTGTCGTGTATTCGCGTTATGAATGTTTTTATTCAGAGAAAATTTAGTTTTGTTCGTAAAAATGTAGTTGCATAATTCACAAATATATAAAGAAAATATTGTCAGAACCTTATATTTGACAAACAATTCTCTACAAGAGTTGGTTGAAGGAACGCCTGCTACTACTCTCAATATTCTTTTTTGCAAAATGAAAATATCATGAATAGAAGTTGAGTTGCCCCACAAACATATACCATATCTAATTCTTGAAGCTACCTGAGAGTGGTACAGTGGATAACAGTTGAGACTCCTCTAAGACTTGTTTGAGATTTCTGAACAAATAACACAAAGAGTTCAGTCTCTTGCTTAAGTATACGCAATGATTTTTCCAGTTGATATTTTCATCAATGATCAGGTCCAGGAATTTTGTTTCATTAGTATTATTTATTGATACATCGTTGATGCGGACGGTTAATGGTAGACATGTTTTTTGCCAGTTGTGGAATTTCACGATTTGTGTTTTTTAGAGGCATACAAATATAAATGATTCAAGCTACACCATTCATATATAGAAAACTTGTTCACTTTTTTGATGTGTTTTGATTTCGTCCTTATCCGATAGTATCAAAGAAGTGTCATCAGCATACATTGTTACTAAGGCTCTGTTAGGTACACAGGTATACAGGTGATTGACACCCTGTAGCTCGAATACTGGTCATAGAGACTGGATCTGTAAATTGGAATGTGTAACAAGAACGCTTATATCTGAAACATATCGAATTTTCAGAAAAATTAGCCGAAAGCCATTTTCTCCACTAAATGTGCGGGGTCCTTTAGAGAAATGAATATTACTTCCTGGTTATGTGTTTTTCATTTTTCAATTGCTGTGAATTATATCCGTTTTTTCTTTCTTTTTGCAGTGTTCCACCAAAACGTTCCACAAGAAATATGAGGAATAAATAATGTTGGCCGTTTTATCGAATTTTTTATATTTATATTGTATAATAGTTTAATAAATTCATATTTGTTGAATTCAATTTCGATGTAATTTAAGTGTACAGGTTATTTTACTCTATGAGTAATATCAGAAATTTTAATTCTCTGTAAAAACAGATACCTACGAGGAAACTACTGAGAATATAATATATATTGATTTGTGAAACATAGGCACCCTACAGAAAAATGTGTGTGGAATTCATGTTTTTTGTTTCGATGGAATAAATTAATTGTTTTATAGGTAAATCAATATTTGAAATTTTCTGTCCAATACCTCACCAATGTCACTCAAATTCCCATATTCAAAAGTGAAGTTATCATAACCTTAGTTCTATTATAATGAGATGAATGAGGATATTATGTCATAAAAGAGGGTCTTTTATACCAAAAACAAAAGAGAAAGAAGGTTTAACCCGTTCGAATTTTTTTCCTATATTTCGAAGCATCAGTCAGCATGAGTTGAAAATTCATACAGGGTGTTCTCGACGTGCTGAAGAAGAATCTGAAGCTATTGTACTTTTATCTCTGATAGTTTTCCAGACATTTGGATTCAGAAAAGAAAAGAGCAAAGTGGGGTCCAAAATTGCTTCTCTATCATTGTGAAAGCGAAATAGATGTGCTTCTATTCCGCACTAGGGCATCCCTCAAGGACCCTGTATACAAAATTTGAAGGCACTAGGAGAAAGTTGATTTTTGGGTCTGAAAAAATAACAAGGTTAACCCCTTTGAACATTTTTCATATATTTCGAGGCAACAGAATGAGCTGAAAATTGGTATACAGTGTGTTCTCGACGTGCTGAACAAGAATCTGAAGTTAGTTTTTTTCTATCTCTCATAGTTTCCTAGATATTCACGTTTAAAAAACTTGAGAGCAGAAGTGGGGTGAAAAATTGCTACTTTTTTATTTTGAAAGCTAGGGAGCTATGCTTCTACTCCGCACTAGGGCATTCCTCAAGGACCCTGTATACGAAATTTGAAGGCACTAGGAGAAAGTTGATTTTTGGGTCTGAAAAAATAACAAGGTTAACCCCTTTGAACATTTTTCATATATTTCGAGGCAACAGAATGAGCTGAAAATTGGTATACAGTGTGTTCTCGACGTGCTGAACAAGAATCTGAAGGTAGTTTGTTTCTATCTCTCATAGTTTTCTAGATATTTACGTTTAAAAAACTTGAGAGCAGAAGTGGGGTGAAAAGTTGCTACATTTTTATTTTGAAAGCTAGAGAGCTATGCTTCTACTCCGCACTAGGGCATTCCTCAAGGACCCTGTATACGAAATTTGAAGGCACTAGGAGAAAGTTGATTTTTGGGTCTGAAAAAATAACAAGGTTAACCCCTTTGAACATTTTTCATATATTTCGAGGCAACAGAATGAGCTGAAAATTCGTATACAGTGTGTTCTCGACGTGCTGAACAAGAATCTGAAGGTAGTTTGTTTCTATCTCTCATAGTTTTCTAGATATTTACGTTTAAAAAACTTGAGAGCAGAAGTGGGGTGAAAAGTTGCTACATTTTTATTTTGAAAGCTAGAGAGCTATGCTTCTACTCCGCACTAGGGCATCCCTCAAGGACCTTGTATACAAAATTTGAAGGTACTTGGAGAAAATTGATTTTTGGGTCTGAAAAAATAACAAGGTTAACCCCTTTGAACATTTTTCATATATTTCGAGGCAACAGAATGAGCCGAAAATTGGTATACAGTGTGTTCTCGACGTGCTGAACAAGAATCTGAAGTTGTTTTTTTTTTTCTATCTTCCATAGTTTCCTAGATATTTACGTTTAAAAAACTTGAGAGCAGAAGTGGGGTGAAAAGTTGCTACATTTTTATTTTGAAAGATAGAGAGCTATGCTTCTACTCCGCACTAGGGCATCTCTCAAGGACCCTGTATACAAAATTTGAAGGCACTATAGGAGGAAGTTGATTTTTTCGAGGCAACAGAATGAGCTGAAAATTGGTATACAGTGTGTTCTCGACGTGCTGAACAAGAATCTGAAGTTAGTTTTTTTCTATCTTTCATAGTTTCCTAGATATTTACGTTTAAAAAACTTGAGAGCAGAAGTGGGGTGAAAAGTTGATACATTTTTATTTTGAAAGATAGAGAGCTATGCTTCTACTCCGCACTAGGGCATCTCTCAAGGACCCTGTATACAAAATTTGAAGGCACTAGGAGGAAGTTGATTTTTGAGTATGAAAAAATAACAAGGTTAACCCCTTTGAACATTTTTCATATATTTCGAGGCAACAGAATGAGCTGAAAATTGGTATACAGTGTGTTCTCGACGTGCTGAACAAGAATCTGAAGTTGTTTTTTTTTCTATCCTTCATAGTTTCCTAGATATTTACGTTCAAAAAATTTGAGAGCAGAAGTGGGGTGAAAAGTTGCTACATTTTTATTTTGAAAGCTAGAGAGCTATTCTTCTACTCCGCACTAGAGCATTCCTCAAGGACCCTGTATACAAAATTTGAAGGCACTAGGAGGAAGTTGATTTTTGGGTCTGAAAAAATAACAAGGTTAACCCCTTTGAACATTTTTCATATATTTCGAGGCAACAGAATGAGCTGAAAATTCGTATACAGTGTGTTCTCGACGTGCTGAACAAGAATCTGAAGGTAGTTTGTTTCTATCTTCCATAGTTTTCTAGATATTTACGTTTAAAAAACTTGAGAGCAGAAGTGGGGTGAAAAGTTGCTACATTTTTATTTTGAAAGCTAGAGAGCTATGCTTCTACTCCGCACTAGGGCATCTCTCAAGGACCCTGTATACAAAATTTGAAGGCACTAGGAGGAATTTGATTTTTGAGTCTGAAAAAATAACAAGGTTAACCCCTTTGAACATTTTTCATATATTTCGAGGCAACAGAATGAGCTGAAAATTGGTATACAGTGTGTTCTCGACGTGCTGAACAAGAATCTGAAGTTGTTTTTTTTTCTATCCTTCATAGTTTCCTAGATATTTACGTTCAAAAAATTTGAGAGCAGAAGTGGGGTGAAAAGTTGCTACATTTTTATTTTGAAAGCTAGAGAGCTATTCTTCTACTCCGCACTAGAGCATTCCTCAAGGACCCTGTATACAAAATTTGAAGGTACTAGGAGAAAGTTGATTTTTGGGTCTGAAAAAATAACAAGGTTAACCCCTTTGAACATTTTTCGTATATTTCGAGGCAACAGAATGAGCTGAAAATTGGTATACAGTGTGTTCTCGACGTGCTGAACAAGAATCTGAAGTTGGATTTTTTCTATCTTTCATAGTTTCCTAGATATTTACGTTTAAAAAACTTGAGAGCAGGAGTGGGGTGAAAAGTTGCTACATTTTTATTTTGAAAGATAGAGAGCTATGCTTCTACTCCGCACTAGGGCATCTCTCAAGGACCCTGTATACAAAATTTGAAGGCACTAGGAGGAAGTTGATTTTTGAGTCTGAAAAAATAACAAGGTTAACCCCTTTGAACATTTTTCATATATTTCGAGGCAACAGAATGAGCTGAAAATTGGTATACAGTGTGTTCTCGACGTGCTGAACAAGAATCTGAAGTTGTTTTTTTTCTATCCTTCATAGTTTCCTAGATATTTACGTTCAAAAAATTTGAGAGCAGAAGTGGGGTGAAAAGTTGCTACATTTTTATTTTGAAAGCTAGAGAGCTATTCTTCTACTCCGCACTAGAGCATTCCTCAAGGACCCTGTATACAAAATTTGAAGGTACTAGGAGAAAGTTGATTTTTGGGTCTGAAAAAATAACAAGGTTAACCCCTTTGAACATTTTTCGTATATTTCGAGGCAACAGAATGAGCTGAAAATTGGTATACAGTGTGTTCTCGACGTGCTGAACAAGAATCTGAAGTTAGTTTTTTTCTATCTTTCATAGTTCCCTAGATATTTACGTTTAAAAAACTTGAGAGCAGAAGTGGGGTGAAAAGTTGCTACATTTTTATTTTGAAAGCTAGGGAGCTATGCTTCTACTCCGCACTAGGGCATCCCTTAAGGACCCTGTATACAAAATTTGAAGGCACTAGGAGAAAGTTGATTTTTGGGTCTGAAAAAAGAACAAGGTTAACCCCTTTGAACATTTTTCATATATTTCGAGGCAACAGAATGAGCTGAAAATTGGTATACAGTGTGTTCTCGACGTGCTGAACAAGAATCTGAAGTTAGTTTTTTTCTATCTCTCATAGTTTCCTAGATATTAACGTTTAAAAAAGAAAAGAAAAGAGCAGAAGTGGGGTGAAAGATTGTTACTTTTTTATTTTGAAAGCTAGTTAGCTATGCTTCTACTACGCACTAGGGCATCCCTTAAGGACCCTGTATACAAAATTTGAAGGCACTAGGAGAAAGTTGATTTTTGGGTCTGAAAATGAAAGAAGGTTAACCCCTTTGAACATTTTTCATATATTTCGAGGCGACAGAATGAGCTGAAAATTGGTATACAGTGTGTTCTCGACGTGCTGAACAAGAATCTGAAGTTAGTTTTTTCTATCTCTCATAATTTCCTAGATATTTACGTTCAAAAAAACTTGAGAGCAGAAGTGGGGTGAAAAATTGCTACTTTTTTATTTTGAAAGCTAGGGAGCTATGCTTCTACTCCGCACTAGGGCATCCCTTAAGGACCCTGTATACAAAATTTGAAGGCACTAGGAGAAAGTTGATTTTTGGGTCTGAAAAAATAACAAGGTTAACCCCTTTGAACATTTTTCATATATTTCGAGGAAACGGAATGAGCTGAAAATTGGTATACAGTGTGTTCTCGACGTGCTGAACAAGAATCTGAAGTTGGTTCTTTTCAATCTCTCATGGTTTCCTGGATATTTACGTTTAAAAAACTTGAGAGTAGAAGTGGGGTGAAAAATTGCTATTTTTATTCTGAATGCTAGGGAGCTATGCTTCTACTATCCGCACTAGGGCTTCCCTCAAGTACCCTGTATACAAAATTTGAAGGCACTAGGAGAAAGTTGATTTTTGGGTCTGAAAAA